CATAATTATGTCTTTGTCTAACAGAATAGTAATTTATGCCTCAAAAATCATTTATAAACAGTTCATCTTTGCTGCAACTATCACAAACAATTTTTCAACAACATGATCAGCTATCTATTTATTTGTTTACGTGCACTTGCGAACGAAAAATATTCAAAACATAAACATTAATTAAAAATTTGCGAAAAATATTCAAAACATAAACATTATATGTGCGCATGCGTTAATTTTCAGCCGCCGAAGCAATTTTTTACAGAATATTCAGCCGGTTTATTGAATATTCAGCTGCAGAAGATTTATCCTTCTCAAAATTTAAAACTTCTCCGATAAACTACTTTTTAGAAAAACATTGCTTATAAATTTTATACTTTCATTCAACTTATTATTTATAAATCTAATTCTGAGCTTCTTTTATCTAATTTTTTTCTTTTCTGTTGTGATTTAATATTTTTTGATATATTACTATTCTTACTGTTGTTAATATTGTCATAATTTTTTTTATATTACTGTTGTTGTTATTATTGTTATTATTATTGTTGTTGTTATTTTTACTGTTATTTTTGTTGTTATTATTAAAATAGTATAGTGTATACTTTTTATAATCTATTACTTTTACTATTACTTTTAATCGCTGCTAATAACAGCGATTAAAAGTAATAGTAAGATTTAAAAGTAAAATTAGTAAAAGTAATAGTAAAAAGCGATTAAAAGTAATAGTGAAAGTAATAGATTATAAAAAGTATACACAATACTATTTTAATAATAACAGTGTTATTACAACTAATATTTTTATTTACTACTACTTGTATTATAATTATTATTAATAATACTTTAATAATAATAAAATGATGCTAATAATATTAGCATCATTTTATTAGTATTGAATTTACAGGTGATTATTTCATTACTATTTATTACTATTTTTAGTATTTGTAAATAACCTTGATGTGTCAACTTATTCAGAATATATTTGATTTGATTTATTTTGATCACTCAAAATTTGAAAGTTAATGAATAACAATGAGGCAGTAGCAATTTTATACATATATATATATATATATATATATATATATATATATATATATATATATATATATATATATATATATATATATATATATATATATATATATATATATATATATATATATATTAAATCAAATCAAATCAAATATATTCTGAATAAAGTTGTTACATCAAGGATATTTACAAATAGTAATTTGTACTAATATAAAGTAAACACCTGTCAAAATAAATAAAAATAAGATGGAGATAGTAATAATAATAATTATAATACAAGTAGGAATAATAAAAGTAATAGTAGTGATTATAGTGATAAAAAAAATAATAGTAGCGATTATAAAAAGAATATACTATAATAATAATAATAATAATAATAACAATAATAATAGCAATAATAATAATAATAATAATAGCTATAATAACAACAAAAATAATAACAATTACAATAATATTCATTATGATATAAATTATGATATAAAATATAGTAATAATAACAACAACAGTGATAATATTTACAACAGTGATATATATATATATATATATATATATATATATATATATATATATATATATATATATATATATATATATATACTGTTATTCACCTCCTCAAGGCCAAGAAGGCCACTTCAGACGAGAAGGCTACTTAATAGTGGTTATAACCCTTTCTCAACTCTATAACTGTGAAACACGAACCTTGACGAACAAGGCCACTGCGCGGAGAAACAAGTTAATATATATATATATATATATATATATATATATATATATATATATATATATATATATATATATATATATATATATATATATATATATATATATATATATACATATATATATATATATATATATATATATATATATATATATATATATATATATATATATATATATATTTATATATTATAATATATATATATATATGTATATATATATATATATTTATATATATATATATATATATATATATATATATATATATATATATATATATATATTTATATATTATAATATATATATATATATATATATATATATATATATATATATATATGTATATATATATATATATTTATATATATATATATATATATATATATATATATATATATATATATATATATTATAATATATATATATATATATATATATATATATATATATATATATATATATATATATATATATATATATATATATATATATATATATATATATATATATATATATTATATTATATATATTATAATATATATATATATATATATATATATATATATATATATATATATATATATATATATATATATATATATATATATATATATATATATATATATATATATATATATATAAGTAAAAAAATCTAATCGCGATTTTTTTGTTGCTCATAACTCCTTCCCCCTCCTCCCCGTGGGGGGGGGGGGGGATTATTTATTTTAATTTATTTATGTTAACATACATAAGTCTCATTTTTGCATAAGATGTCATAACATTTACGGTTAGCAGTTGTAAAATAGCTTTAGTTATAGTTTACATTATTACTATTATCATATCGCATTAAATCTAACGGCTGTATTTTTGTAAAATCAATGAACTTGATATTTCTAACCTTCTTTTAAGTAATTTTTTCATCTTCTATTTTATTTACATATTTTAAACTGTTAAAACAACTAGAATATTTAATTTTCTATAAATTTTTAACAGTAAACAAAAACTATTTAAAACTCTAATTTTGAAACAGTTATAAAAAACTATTAAAAATGACGAAAACATTATTGTGATAAAATGTTAAAACTTAACATTTTGACGAAAACCTGCGCAACAAACAAGAATGATAATTAAATTCTTATTAAGTCAGTTTTCTTATCTAAGTAACCTTATCAAATTCCGATGATATTTTTATCTATTGCTTTTTCATTCAATGCATTTTTTAATAAAAGTTAGCGTTCACTTTTTTCATTCAATAAAATAAAGCGAAAGAAAAAAATGTGTCTAAATAATAGAATCTTTTACGATCTAATACTTTTTTTGATAGTTAATAGAAAAATTATTAGAACGTAATCGTAAATATTTTTATCTTTTTGTAATAATTTCACTAGTTTAATGCTTAGAATTTTTCAGGATTTTTACTAACTTAAAAGTATTTTTACGAAGCTAAAAATCATACGCTATTTAAAGTTGTTATTTGATATTTTAATTTTAAGGGGTTACAATGCGCTAAAATAAAATTAAAAGTTGTCAAAATATTCTTCCTCGCTCTCACTTTCTTCCAAATCTGATATTGTAACTGTCTCTAGATCAATGTCTGTTTTTCCTGACTTTCTTTTTCTTTTTTCCGGATAACGATGAAAATTTGCTGACAATCGTCTAACTTTATCATTATACCATTCGTCCATAGCTGTATCAGGTTCAAATTTGTCAATCTCAGGACCTTCTTTGCTTATCCGAAGTAGAGGTTCTAAACGATGTCGCCTAAGACAACTTCTCCATTCATCTTCGCGATTCATACATAAAAACATTCGTTCTACCTTCGCATTTGTAAAAGGACAAATTAAAAATAGTTCAAAAATATCAAGAGTATTTCGGCATTCTTTGACCAAACTTGATTTGGAAAAAACAATTTCCCAAATTTTCAAAAAATACTCATTTTAATTGTTACTTATGATGGGAAACATGTATGCTTTTAAAATGATCCACTCATGAAGTATATTATTCAAATCACATCCTACACCAATTAAAAATTCAGAAAAATGTTTAGCAACTTCACCGATAGCTTTATCGCCAAAAGTACCGTCATTCACATTTAACGACCAGTTATAAACGTCAAGTAAAGCTACCAAATGCATAAACAATGGTGATTTTTGGAGAGATTGAACGGCCTTCCATACATATGAAAATATTTGTAATAATTAGTTTGTATTGGTCAAGAACATGGCTATTAACTTCGGTATATTGAGTAAGTGGAATATTTTGGTAACATTGCTACCCTCTAAGAGTAAAGTCAAAAATAGAGAAAAAATACAAAGTAGAAACAATGAGACTTTATTTTATTTTATAATTTTGAGATAAACTGTTCTAAAAAAGTTGAAATATTCAAATATTTAAACGTTGTTATTTGATATTATCAATATTGTATCTATATCTTATACCAATATTGTACCTATATCTTGATTTTACAAATACTATATTAATTTACAGTACATTTTGAATGATTTTTATAAAGATCTTTTTCTGTCCCAAGCAATGTAAAAAAGTTCCTAGAATAGTCTGAAAACATCTCAATAAGGTATAACTTTTATATTAAATGTGCAACTTACTTATGTGGTTTCTAGAATTTTGGTAAGAAAATGATGGATATTACTGCACATTATATTAATAATACAAAACAGAAAATCTTTATTCTTGACAAAAGTTACAAATATAACGTTTTTGTTTTTGATTAACACCTGCACAGTCATTATGGCACCAGCTTGACATGTACCCTTTTATTGGTATGTCAAGACACTGCAACCTAAAAAATCACCAATAACAATTCTAAAAAATTTTCTTCAGCCTAAAAATTTTCTGCTAGTAAAAATTAGCTTTAAACTTTCATTTTAATTAAGAAAGTAATAATATTATGGATAACCTTCGGAGATGAACATGTGTGTGTGTATTGTGTGTGTGTTTTGAGTGTGTGTAACCATTAATGTAAAATTGCAACAAACAAAATAAAAGACTTACTGTTCTGTTTTTTTCATTGATGATAATAAAGTTACGTTAGAGAGTGGGTCATTATGTGCATTATGTTTCAATAGAGTAGCTCTAGATTTTTTTAGATTTTGCTCGAGTGAAGAAGTTTGCACTGGATGTGCAGAAATTATTTCTAAAATAAGTTCATCCTAAATAAATGAAACGTTAAACAAAAAATATATAATTAGAACAACAGTAACAGTATGGTATTTGAATAAGTTGAGAAAGAAAATATGTGACTAAAGGCAAACTATGACTAAACTTACTGTTTGGGAAGCTTTTGCATTTGAACTCGTCTCTCCACTGAGTATTTCACAAGGTACAAAGTCCTCTTCCCGGAAAACTGAGCTGTCTACCGGCCATATCCCAGTGTCTCTAAATCCATTAATAGCAATTTCCATACCAACAACTTTTGAGTAAGCTTCGCCAAACAGTTGAGATACTTGATATTGAGTAATACATCTGCCTGGATGGGTTCGCATCCATTTATCACAAGCAGTATTATATTTAGAATTTAAAGCTTTGAAAAAAGATCTATCTAAAGGTTGTAGCCTATGAGTAGTATGCGATGGCAAAGAAAGCATTACTACTCTGTGATCTCGAGCTAGAACTAAGGCTTCAAGGTTTTTTGTATGTGTTAAATGCCCGTCAAGTATAAGAAGAACTTTTTTTTTTTCTGGATTTTCTGCAAGAGATTTAAGACAAAGTGAGCTTATAAAATGACTTTTAAATCTTTTACGTTTAAATATAAGCATAGGAGGTACAAAAGATCCAACAGCATTCATACAACATATGGCAGTGGTATTCACACCCCTTTCACCACTTGTAATACCTATTTGGTGTCTACCTTTCAGAGCTAAAACTTTCCTTGGTTTGTGAACTGTACTTATTCCAGTTTCATCTACGTTGTAAAGCAAATCTGCAGTTATATTGTGGTTATCAACAAGTTCAGTAAGTTTATTGAAAAATAATACAAACTTTTCCTTACAAAAACCTGTGGCTCTTGCCATAGAAGTTGGTTCAGGTAATCTCAAACTAAGGCTTGGATTGCGTTTCATGAATTGGTAATACCACTTCTTTCCAGCCATACCAACATCTTTGTTGAATTGATGAGGTATTTTGTTTATTTTAGCAATTTCAAATGCTAATCGTCTAAGATCTATTCTATTTATTCCAAACATACAAGATTCCAGTTTCAAAACATGTTCAACTAATTCTTTTTCAACTTCAGGAGGTAAGATACTACACCTACCTAACTGTTTATTTGATTCATTTGCAAATATATTTTGATGATTCATATGTCTTTTTAATGTTGGTTTAGGAATTCCATATTTTGCACATACAGCGTTAAGTCCAATTTTATCATTTCGATAAGCAAAAATAGCCTTTTTCATATCTTCTTTTGTCCACAAACCATATCTCCGTTTCGACATTTTAAAATTCATATTATTTTTATATACTTCACGCGTATTTTGAGCATTCAAAATGACAGCCTCGGTACAATTTAAGACCTTAAGTGAGGTATGAATTACGCGACTAGACTCACTTTGAGTTTATAACGAAATTAGACAACAAATGCTAATGTATTTTAATTTCTTGGAATTTAATTTGAATTCATATAACTAGTGCTTTCACATAAATATGATAAAAAAGACATGTTTAACATGTTTAAAGTCTAACAAATCTAAACATTGAACCCCAAAAATAAGAAAACTTTGGCATCTTATCAACTCAAGGTAACTGCTGCCAGAATCTAGTTTCATCTCACGAAAAAACAATTGATTCGTTAGTTCAACATAGCAAAGATAAAATTTAAGTCAAAAGATATTTTCTGGGTTGTAAAAATAACTAGATACAGCAAAAGTACAATTTAGGCGCCGGTACAATATCGGCAACCTTACCCTATCTGGGAGTCTGTTATAGCCAATGATTCAATATGTGTCATAAACACACCATAATTTTCTAAAGCAATTTTCATTGCTTTATACTTGTGATCAATCCACCGAGTTCCGCATGCATTTGTTAGTTTCGGAACGCTATTACCCCAAGCTTCGGCTAATCCTTGTAGTTCTCGGTAGAGCTTTGGTGACTTTTGATAGAAGTAATAAAGTTGTAAAAGGGGTTCGTCAGCAATTTTAAAGGCAGATAAACTTTCAAACGCATCTTTTAAAGCAAGTTCAAGTTGATGGTTAAAACAGTGTACAACTTCCAGCCAAGGAGAACCTTCCTTTAGTAATGCGCCTAAACCAGCATAAGCTTCTAGATTAACGTTAGCTCCATCAAGATTTACGCCCAATAGATGTTTATAAGAATTAGTAATGCCAACTCTTGTAAAAGCGTCTGTTGTACATTTTTTCAGGCCAACAGCATTAGAATTCTCTGCCGTTTCAATAGATAAGAATTCTACTTTCGGACTTCCGTCTTTTAAATAAAGAATGTAAATCAATTCCTGTTCCGATACAGCTGAATCTGTGCTTCCATCACAGAGAGCACAGTAAAATTTACAATTTTTTAAACATTCAGTTAATTTGTTTTTAATTACGGTGCCAATGTAATTTGTAAATATTGCAGCTGCACGGTCAGTGCCATAAGAATTTCCTAAATTTGTAACCCCATTAGTCTTTTCTAATGCAATCAAATAAGGATAATCTGTGAAAGGACGCTCTCGTTTTGCCAAGTAATGTGCAATATTAAACTTTTTCTGTAACGAGTCGGCGTCTTTTACGGTCATTTTACGTAAACCACCCCGATAGGAGTATTAGGAATAACATGGTTAAATAATGAAACTGAACCTAATGTTGTTTGTTGATGAATTCGCGTGGCCTCTTTATTTTGCGCACTACTTAAGTGAGCTGCCAGTGAGTCTTTTTTTATTGATATTGTTCCTGGTTTGATCCAGGTCATAGAAAACAATTTCGTTTGACTTATCCGTTTTTCAAATTTTTTACATAAACTGCATCTTAATCTTATAACTTCATCTCCATTTAAATCGTATTCTAACTCGCAATTCAAAAGTTTTTCTCACTTTTTAACTGTAGATAATCTGCGTCTGTGGTCCTTATTTGTATCCATTTATTGCTATTAATTTAAAGTTAGCAAGTATACTAACAAACTTTAGAGAGTTTTTTTTTAATAACTAGTTTAGAGTCTGTATTGCCTTCCACAATTCTTTGCAAATTAAAATATCATTAAATTTGTTCATAATGAATGAGCAAAATCAGAATAAAGCCCTTGAGAATTCGAGTTAAGAAAATGACTTTTCAATCAATTAACTTTTATTTCTTTTTTTAATCAAAATCTTTAATTACTTGATTCGAAAAGGTATTTTTTTTACATTTTTACTAATACATTTTTGCTAATTGATTTTCGAAATATTTTATTTTTCTTTCTTTTACTCTACGATCAGCTTTTAAAAAAGTTTATTGTTATAGAAGTCACTGCAGTTTTATACTGTAAAAAAACGCTAAATATTCGCGATTAATATTAATTATCTAAAATTAGATTTTTCTAAAATAATAAAAGAATAATCGCGAAAAAAGGAAAGGTCGCGAAAAAACAAATTTTAAGAAAAAACTAATCGCGAAGGTGCGAAAAGTAATCGCGAATCGCGATAGCGATACGCTTATTTCGAGCCCTATATATATATATATATATATATATATATATATATATATATATATATATATATATATATATATATATATATATATATATATATATATATATATATATATATATATATATATATATATACTATATATATATATATATATATATATATATATATATATATATATATATATATATATATATATATATATATATATATATATATATATATATATATATATATATATAATATATAATATATATATATATATGTATATATATATATATATATATATATATATATATTATATATATATATTATAT